CACTTTGATTATTTACATATATGGCAAAGGAACATATTTTTATGTATTTTATGAAGAATAATGAACATACAATGGTAATAAAAGTGTATTTCATGTGAAAGTATGTGTTAATGTGCATTTATTATTGCTGACTTCATTTTAAAATCGGGGGGGGGGGGGTCCGGCAGCCATCTTGTTTGTTTTAAAAGCGCCACCTAGAGGCTAATTGGTTATAACAAACTGTTTACGTTGGTCCAATGCTTTTCGTTATGAGGTTTGACTGTACTTTTTTTGTCGTTATTGTTAAGATATCAAAATCCCAATGAAGACACAATTTCAATAAAGATTATTACAATTATTAATGATTTAGGACTGATTTTTAATAGCATCTATAAAATTGAAAATGATCTATAAATTAAAATGACATACATAATGATTAGTAACCAAATACTTAGAAAGTGTGTTCTTCAAGCTTGGTTTGAGTTCAGTTATGAATCAGAATATCACAGTCAGCAATATTAGATTGAATTCATACTAACATGTTTCCCTAACATGTTAATGAGCAGAGTATGATGAAATTACATTGTCCCCTTACATTTACATAATGAAAAAAAAATCTGAATTTATGCTATTTCAAAATGGGAAAATTTTTGTTCATGTTTACAGAGGATGACAACAAACAGACCAACACTGACTTGACATGTATATGAGGATGCTTAGAATGTGAAAAAGGTCATTATCAATGACATAACATGTAAACAAAAATTGCCACCAGTGGACTACCAGAATATTGCATCAGCTACCAAAACTATATTATGTGTAACAGTAACCCATTAGGAGTGATGTACATACAAAATTTGAATGAAATGGTATAGGCATGGCTGAGAAACAGTTGAGAACATGTTAAAAATTTGTGTGTTTTTTTTTTTTTTGTGGCAAAAATGTCAATTAGTTGGATAAAAACATTCATTTCCTCAAATCTGTAAGAATATCTCTTGGAAAACCGTCAGCTATTTTGAATTCAAATCAGTGAACAAATTAATGTTCAACACTAAAGCAGCATGAGTGGAGTTAATACTAAGCTTGATAGAACCAAAATTGCTGCCAGCGGACAAAAGTCAACCACATTGATGGACACATGCACGCATGGATAGAACCTAAAACATGAGTCCATTTTGAACTTTCTTCAATGGAGACTAATAAAATAGCAACTTGTGGCTACAAGGACGCCATAGTGTTATAAATTACTGCCTGGCTAACGTTGCAGCATCAAATTTTTATAACATTCAATATAAGCATTATGATGTTTTCATGTAATGATCAAAAATGAATAATAATCAGAGTTCATTACCTCTACTACTGGATCAGAAGCATATTCCTTAAGAATGTCAACAGCTGCAGGTGAGCCAATTGCCCCAAGCGCTTCTCCTGTAATCACAAAATTTTTTTAACTATTTTAGTTTTGCATATGCAGTTTTAATCCTGTTATTACCTGCATAACAACTTTTAACTGGGTAATTTGTGCAGAAGATTGCAGCATTTTCTAATCACAGTGGCACTTATACCAGGGGTTCTTCCAAAAAAGTGAACAGTGGCGCAGCGCCCTCATACCCTGGGCTTGCACCCTCTTAGAGAACCTGGAACAGTCAGTAGATTATGATGATCAGTTATAACAAATATAGAGTGTTACCAATGGTAACAAAGGTGTGCTCCCTCTTATACACATGGTTTCCATTCAATGGAGTTTTTGATCTTGATTTAAAATAAATATAATTTGTTTTAGGTCTTTAATTTTTACATTGTGCACGCTTAGTTGGAACTCGTAATGAACGACGTGGTTAATAATATAATTGTAATGGCACTTAGATATCATACACAGTCTTCTTTCACTAATACCATATACTAGTACATGTACAATCTTCCATTAATATTCATTATCTACTGCTGTCAGTTACGGTAAATGGTAATTAGCTGCATTTTTTTATTTTATTTTTTTGGTATTATTTATTCAACGTAATACTAATCTTCTTTGAGTATTAATTAAATGAACACATAAAAGTCACATTGGGTAAAACGTCAAGAAGTCTATGCTTGTAGCGACATAGTTCTGAAAATGTCTTTTTTTTTTCATTGTCGGCTGAAGAAAAAACAAAGCTGTTTCGATAACCCGACCAGGGTGTTAATTTTATTTAGGAACAAGTCAATATAATCAACATGCACAATGCATGCCTGAAAAACAGTTGACATGTTCAAATTTTGCAATTTTATTTGTTTTTCATAAATTTCATTGAAATCCAAAAATAATTAAAAACAACATTTACCTAATTATATCTTGCCTTTGTACCAAATTTAAACCCAATCTATAAAATCATCTTTGTGAAATAGGCAGAACACTCAGAAAAAAAAAAAAAAAAAAAATGACCATCAGTCGGCTATTTTCAATTGAAGTGCAATTCAGACGAAAATGGCCTCCATTCGGCTAAATTTCGATGAAAACGAAAAATAACTAAAAACAACATTTAACCCGTTATATCGTACCTTTGTACAAAATTTAACCCAAATTTGTACAATCATCTCTGTGAAATGAGCGGAACACTCGTAAAAAACAAAATGGCCACCAGTCCGCCATTTTGAATCGAATCACGAAAAAAAATTACATGCATCAGTAACCCACCATGACTGATGTCAATGACAAGTTTGAATGAAATCAGTAAAGGCATGTCTGTGAGACGGTTGACGTTTGGTGTATTTGGGGACAAAAATGGCCACCAGTGGGTCAAAGGTCAACCAACTAAAAAAATAAATCAATGTCTCCTATTATGCCTTGTCTTTGTACCAGTTTTGAAGAAAATATGTCAAGTTGTCTCTGAGAAATGTTGACTGACGCACAGACAGAACCCAAAACATAAGTCCCTGTTTTGGACTACATCCAACTGGGACTAATTAAAGTCAACTCCTAGATACTCTCCCCTGAGAATAGAATTTCTATACTATTGTGGAATACTTTATTTTCGCTGGAATTAATTTTCGCTGAAAGGCTTTTTGGGCATTTTGTATGGAATTTATTTTCACTGATTTTTGATGAGTTTAATGTGAAATATAGGAAAAAAGTATATTCGCTGGATTTTATTTTCACGGATTCATCCCTTCAGCGAAAATAGCGAAAATAAATTCCAAGCGAAAATAAAGTATTCTACAGTATACAACAAATTTGTCATGATGGATGCTCTCTTCAAGTGCAATCCCCACTAACATTATAACTTTACACTTTTTTGGTGAACTTAAACTATTTTTTTAATTTTATAATCTTTTCTTTTTTGAATCTTGATATAATGCGAAATTACCATGACTGGTCTTATTCTGAGGTGTAATGATAATCATTTATAATACGCAGTGGTGTTATGAAAAATGAAAGTAGACATGCGCTTATACAAAGGATTCTATGCATCGGGTCAAAAGCTGCCTTTCTATTACCTTTCTACAACCAATAAAATTACCATGACTGATGCTGCCTATGTAATAACCTAAAAAATGATTTTGTTCATTTTCCTTCCTAACTAACTTGCAATTAGTAGTCTTACTTCTGAATATTAAGTCTGTATTACAAGCAGGTAAAAAATGTTTACATACACCTAACTCCCCCACCCTGGTAGGCAAATACTGAGTGACTTTTACAATATTCGCAGACACTTCAATGATCGTTGTAAACAACGGACTGTTTCAGATGGGTTCAACTTACAACTTGTTCATTCACAAATTTATCAAACAGTGTTTTATTCATTATTGTTATCGGAAACTATTATTTCATGAAAACAAATGATTGTTTATTCAATAAATTAATTTATGAAAATAATGAAGAATTAAAGAACACCTCTAACATATAGTTTAGTTTTAAATTTTTGATCTCATCGTGACTATTTAAATCTATACAATATTTGCTATGGGATTCAGTAGCACTGGTTGAATACATTTCCGCAAGAGTAGCAGCAAACCTTGTTATATTACTTCTGATGAAACATTCAAATTCACTGTATATTGTTGTGCATCGCTAAACATGAGATCTGAAGAATAGGTGAAAATAGTACATGGTGTATAGGGGTAAAAACTAAAAGTGAAAGATTCCAGGAAAAGATTATTACTTGTTAATACCTGTATACATCTGTTTGAAACGTGTACCTCACACATTTAGTTTTCGCAATTTTTGCGTACTGTAAAAGTGCATTGCATATGGTAAAATGGGGAAATATTTTTCCGTTTCAGAGGATGTTTTGTCATTCCAAATAACCTCAAAAGCATTTTTTTAATAAATGTTAAACATTGAATATATAGGTATATCTTGTGATATTAAATAATCTTATTTATTCCAAAATAAAATTTAAACCACATCACTTCATCATCAATTTTCCCTACAATGAGAAGAAAAACTAAAACTAAAATGGTAAGAGTTCCGTAGGGCCCCTGACCCATAACTCTAATCCTAACCCTACCACTCCAGTACCCCTCCTCCGTTTCAATAGCATATACCCCTTTTTGGGTCATTTATAATTATTTGGAGGGGCATATTGAATTACACTTGGGGGCTGGAGTGTTAGGGTTAGGGTTCAGGTTAGGGATGAGGGGGCCTTAGGGAACTCTTTCCTAAAAATAATATCCATTATTAATTAATTAATAGATCCATTCATTTCATTCATTCACATTAATATCTTTTTTTCAGAAAAAAAAGTGACAATTAAAGGGAGGTGGTAACTCAGCGCGTGTTCGAATTTCACGTAAACTAAAAAAATGTATTTCACACGCGTTGTGTACGTTGTCACAAGTCCCACACCGAACAAGACGCGACTCGACGACCACCGCCCTTTAATAACATGTGTTATCCCCGAGTTCTGTACCTGCTTCGTGTCTAACCATCGGTTCTTGATTCGTATCTTTCAACACATTCACCAGGTATGGTATAGCATACGGGTCTTGCATCTGCCCCATGCAATAGGCCAATTCATGTTTTAACAATGCTGACGGGTCATCTAAACATCTCACTATACTGTCGATCGCATGTTTCCCACCCAAATTGCGTAAGGTGAATAGTGCCCGGAATCTGTCGGTCAATGGCCGTCCTCTGTCGCAGAGAATTTGTCCTACCTTCTCAATCGAACGACAGTCTGACATTTTAACTGACTTATACCACACACTGATGTTACTTTCACACTCAGCACTAGATTACTGCGACACGGTGCATGTGCTTTTCAGGCTAACAAAAAAACTTCATTCGATATCTTCACTACATAACACATGTCTTTCAGCCGCATAACAACTGCGCAGTCGCAGGTCAAATAACACTTCCGGGTCGTTTGGAAAACTGGTGCGTCTTCCACTTCCTGTTTAGATGCCTGCGACAAGGAGAGATTGTTTCTCGCGATGAAAGGACAAGAATTACTCAAATACGTGAACAACAGCTAGCTGGAGAATATTGATAGAGTTGTCGAGTAGACTGCAACTGGATCGATTTGGAGATCGTAGTGTATTGACTTTATTTTGTAGGCTGTGCTCGAATTTCAACCGTGGTGTTGTTCAGTTTTTATACGGCTTCTCCTCTCCATGAGGATACAGGGTTACCTGTGTTGATATATACAGTATATGGATGCAAAACAGCACAAATTGTGAATTGATATTCTGACTGGAATATTTATTTCCGCTGTCTCCACAGGCGTGGCTGTCTCCCCAGTACGAGAAACCCGGTGCAATGAGACGATGACGTAACAGACCTTGATGATGTCTTCAATTGCGTTATGGATGGGAACAGTTGTTGATCTCTTAATGTTAAAACATTTCTGTTTCAACTATGCACTCTCCACATACATGATAACTGGTCTGACAGCGTGCATACTATCATTAGCCTACTACGGACAATCTCCGTCTCCACGATTCCTTCTCACATTTCTTGCCTATACTATGTCAACCTTCACAATTGCATTGGGAATCAAAGTTGCCTACTTCGTTGCAAACGTCTCTAGAATCCAGTTCGATCCTCAGAGAAACACCCTTGCATGGTAGTCTGACTATACTATGCAATATTTCTAAAACTGTTACACATGACAATGCTTCCAGCCTATTTGAAGTTAACAGAAACCGTCATTGACCGCATTGGCCTTAAACACATCTTTTTTAACTATTTTTTTGCTTCATGTATCGTTTCTGGTTTAGTTTTGTTTCTCATGTCCATTGTCAATACAGCTTCACCGCGGTTAACGATTGGCGGAATCTTATCACTCATGACTATGTTGATATTATCGCTGTCTATCGAGTGCGCACATCAGATTTTGTTTTGGATGTATGTCAACAGGGAACCTAACCAATATCTGTTTAATGAACTTGGCCGTAATCCCAGTTTGCAGCGCTACTGACTATTGAACGTGAACAAATCTTTTTTCGTCTACTTTAATTAATTAAAAAACAGTAGGTGCTATTTTATAGTTTTCAAGAGTATACAAATAGCGTGCTTATATATCATAGACAAAAATTCTAAATTTCTTTCTTGGGCAACGTAAAAGAAGACATGGCTCATCGAACAGTATCATCGTTTAAAATTTCCCCCCAAAACATTACAATTGTGTCACGTATGCAAGAGTTGCCATATATCCATGGAATGCTATTATCAGTGTGGGACAATATTCTCGGGCCAAAAATCCAACATGCCTGGTTGGTAGATGTGGAACATGGAGATACTATCAGTCATGATGTTCTTAATTATGCATCAACAAGAGTGTTAAACTCAAGTGATGACCCTGGTAGTAAAGTACAAAGTAAATTTTTTGTACTCTCTGAGAAAGGAATTCTTCTCAATGCACTGGTCTTCGGTGGCACAGGATCAAGTGGAAGTAATGTATGTGCAATATCGTTAGTTCTTCCATACTCTGAGTTGAAATGGTATATGCCTATCCAAGAACTTTGTATGTCTCGACTGATGGCAATGGTTTATAAATTCAGGGTTCTACAAGATAGAGTAAGTATATATATTATGAGGTTATTACGAGGATACCTCAAAGT